TTCATTTCCCTTAGATGTCACCACGGTAACTTGCTCGCCGGAGGTGCTCTTAACTTCAGCGGCAACGAAGCCTTAATAATAGGCGGTTAATTAGGAATATTAATTATTTAAACTATAATTAATTAATGATTTAAAAAGATTAAAATACCGTCTTCCTCGTCAGGTATCCAACAGTTTTTCTTTGAATCGAATGGTTGGGAGGCAAACTTGATTTTATCTTCTTTGCTTATGGCCAAAAAAGGATATCCTTCATCGGATTCAAAATCACCATAACTCTTTGGTGCTTCAGCCATTTTAAAATTATTTAGATTTTTTTAGTCACTAGACAAAATAGTATATAAAATAATCAGTCAGTCGGTCGGTCAATCGGTCAGGGAATAGGGGAATAAGTTTTAAGTTATTGCTGCTAAAAATAAATCCTTGACTTATTATTCAAATAAAACATTAAAAGATTATAATTTAATTTTATCCCAAACCCATTTTTGTTTTTTTAATTGTTTAAAAATAGAGCTTATACATATGTGCATATATACGAATAATAAAAATGTTGAATGGAAGAAAAAACTAAAATCTAGCATTATAGAAGAAATGAGAGAATTTAATAGAAGAAATGAAGGCGAAGTGCTTTAAAATGTAAAGTAAAATAGTCAGATCTCATTTTTCAGATCATTGGCAAAGAAGGAAAAATAAGGAGTAGAAACAAGCAGCCGCTACCAACAACCTGTGTGTATTCGTGGGCGTTTTTCACTTGGACTGAGAAGCATCCATAAGTTTAGTCGAATATATTGCCACAGGGGCAGAAAGTTATATTTCTCGCTTGCATGAAAGAGATAGAGAGGCTAGACCCGATCATTTTCAAAACAAAATCGAGGCTGACAGATGGACTTAAGGCACCTGACAAACTTTCTATCTTCCCCTTATCCTTTTCACATCCTTCAAATTAAAATCTAAGCTCAATTTCCTAGCTAAACCATCAACCATGTGGGGGCGTGAAGATACCAAGAAAACAATAAATAAAGAAAAGGAAGGAAGGAAACGAGAAAAAAACAAGTCAAAACTTCTGGTTTTTGAAGCTCGATCATTGCCGCCACCAAAAAATAAGCATGTGCTGAATAAAAAAGCATTATTTTTTAGTATGACGTTACGAATGTTTTTCAAAATACGCATGTGAAGAAAAGCCCAGAATTTTAGAATAACGCAGGAAGAAAATTTAGCGCAGCATATTTCTAGGTGGATTTGGAAGCGTTTTTTCAAGCTTTGATTAAACGATTTGCCCGACTAACGGAAAAAAAAGAAAAATTCATTCAAGGTATAAAGATATTTGAAAAGGAGAGACAATCAGTAATTAAACACCAAATTTAAGTACACTAATTAGAATGATAATAATTAAATCAAAATGGTTAATCTCAATTAAAAATTAAATCTAATTTTTATTAGCCTAGATTTTACTTAAATACAAATTTTTTATTTATCGAGTACGGGGAATTATGGGCAAATGTTTATCATTGTTGAAGGAATGTAGTAAACTTAGAATTAAGGTAAACAGGAAAAGCCTATGGCGATTTCATTTAAAACAACTGACAACAATCTTTCCTTAGAGAGAAACTCGTCCCAACTCACAAACAATATAAAGCTTAATAGAGCCAAAAAACTTTAAATGAACGAACTATTTATTTAACTAAAATTACGGATTACCTATTTTATTAAACAGTTGTTTAGACATATTTTATTGCAAATATTATAACTTCTCTCACAATAATGAAAATTTTTTCTTGGGTAGAAATGGCTTGTAATTGTAAAATGTTAAGAAGAAAAAAGGCTTAATATTAAAGAGAACAAAGTGCGTTAATAAAAAAATTTCAAGAATGCATGCCAGGTTCAGAATGTTAGAAAAGATAGGAATTTTGTTAAAAAGTGTTAAAGACTTTTAATGAAAACGAATGTTAAATTGAAAAGTTTCTTCTTGATTTCCTGTTTGAGAATCTTGTACAAAGAGAAGAACCTATAATTTGTTAAAAATGCACTAATGAATAAAAACTGGGGGAAGACCTGTCGTTGTGTAGGCCTATTCTCTGAGGAAATTGGTCGAATTTCTAGTTGTACTGGCAAAGCAGAATTTGGTGGAATAGGTGGAGGAGATGGTGTTGGTACATAAAGAAGTGTTGGATCAGAGGAAGTAAGCTTAAATTTGCGCTCAATGGCCAAAGGGTTGTCAAGAGGAATTCTCTTAATTAGTTTAAAAAATTCGAGAATAAAGTAAAGGAAAATACGAAACGAATATTTAATATAAAAAATTTTACTTTATGTACCACAGTCTGTACTTGAGCTGGGACAATCACTTGAAAAGTTTTTGTTACATTCGGCCGTCCAACTGACAAGGTTATTAACCATTGAGAAATTATTTGTTGAGCAGTTGCACGAACGGCATTTACCAACAAATGCAAACGACCTTAAAATAATGAATTAAATTTAGAAATTATAAACAAAAAAGTAAATACCAAGCTGTTGAACATTAAGCAAAATTGTAGGTTGAATTGGTGTTTGTGAAGCTGGAAGCACAGATCCAGGAAGGAAATGTGAATGTAAAGGCGACGAACAATAAAGGCGAATTAATTCACCTCCAGGAGCAGAAAGTAAATCAGTTTCGCCAAAATTAAGAGGAACGCTAACTGGTTGACCTTGAATCTAAAAAGAAAAATTTAAAAAAATTTAGCTAAACAAATATAAATTAAACCGTTTCTGAATGTAAACGTCGAAAAGAATGTATAGAAACACGCCAAACAGCTTGTAATTTAATTGGTCCAAAGCTTTCATCATAGAAAAATATTAAAAAATCACGTATATTTGGTGCATCCCCAGTTTGACACTAAAAATAGATAAATATAGAAAAATTGTGTTACAAAAACCTCAATTCGAAGTAAACGCCCTTCTTCAAGCAATTGACAATAAACCTAGGAAATCTTGATTGATTTAATTTATTTGGAAATTTTACTGTTGGATCTGAACATCGGATAAAACAAAAGGTATTTGATAGAGGTACAGCTCGTACAAATTTTCTTGATTCCTCCGTAAAAAATCGCAGATGACTATAAAATTGCAAGTTTTAAATTTAAAACGAAAGAATAAAGCAAAAATACTGTGTGAGAAAAGGACGCCAAATAGTATAATTTAGTTCCAAAATGGCTAGAGGGCTGCCGGAAGGAAGCTTTCGTACAAAAAGGCGACAATCACCTTGCATACACTGTTGATTATTTGCTAAAATTTGTAATTCAAGTAATATTTTTCAAAAAATTAAAGAATACCACTTTCGAAAATATCATCAAATCCTGAATCAAAACGCATAGGAAGCTCTAGATTTTCCATGGATCTAAGGCCTAACTGCCAACAAAGACGAGAAGAATCTGCTGAGGCTGACCCTGGCTGTAAGTTGATAAGATCAAACGATCCGATTTTGTAGATATCCAAATGTTGATTTTGCAAATATTTCAATTCACTAGCAGAACGGATAGGACTTTAAAACGATAAATCAATAATTCTTTGCCACATAATAAATAATAAAGCCTATCAACTAACGTAAGACGATGATCGTTGCTTTCCAACTCGCAAACAAATTCTTCAGCCAAAGGATTTCTAAGTTGAAATGAAAAAAGATGAAGTTGACCAAGTGTTAAATCAACGCGCATTTTTGTTGTGATCGATGAAAAAACCTAAAGGGAAAACAAATCAGAATTGGACAAAAAAATTAAGTACTCTTGTGTTATATGCCCCCAAATTTTATAGCCTCAATTTCCTTCTTCTCTCCTTATCTTTGCTTTCTTTTCTAATTTCTCCTTAAGATTACAAAATGGTCCGGAAAAGTTTTTACAATTTGTAAAATGTTTTATTAAATTCCGGAAAAAGTTTTTACAATTTGTAAAACGTTTTATTAAATTCCGGAAAAAGTTTTTACGATTTGTAAAATGTTTTATTAAATTCCGGAAAAGTTTTTACAATTTGTAAAATGTTTTATTAAATTCCGGAAAAAGTTTTTACAATTTGTAAAATGTTTTATTAAATTCCGGAAAAAGTTTTTCAATTTGTAAAATGTTTTATTAAATTCCGGAAAAAGTTTTTACAATTTGTAAAATGTTTTATTAAATTCCGGAAAAAGTTTTTACAATTTGTAAAATGTTTTATTAAATTCCGGAAAAAATTTTACAATTTGTAAAATGTTTTATTAAATTCCGGAAAAGTTTTTACAATTTGTAAAATGTTTTATTAAATTCCGGAAAAAGTTTCTACAATTTGTAAAATGTTTTATTAAATTCTGGAAAAAGTTTTTACAATTTGTAAAACGTTTTATTAAATTACGGAAAAAGTTTTTCAATTTGTAAAATGTTTTATTAAATTCCGGAAAAAGTTTTTACAATTTGTAAAATGTTTTATTAAATTCCGGAAAAAGTTTTTACAATTTGTAAAATGTTTTATTAAATTCCGGAAGTTTTTACAATTTTTAAAATATTTTATCAAATTCCGGAAAAATTTTTCAATTTGCAAAATATTTTATTAAATTCCGGAAAAATTTTTCAATTTGCAAAATATTTTATTAAATTCCGGAAAAGTTTTTAATTTGTAAAATAGGAAATGGAGCTATAAAAATTGGAGCATATAACACGAGTACCAAAATTTATTAATATAATATTTATGGCAGCCTTTTAAATTTGTTTTGATATTTTCCGAAAAAAAAGTATTTTAGTTTCATAAATTAATAAACCAACCGCTTTTAAAAGAGCATGCGCTTTACTCTCTCTTCGAAGAGCTCGATAAGCGGCTAATTCTTCAGCAAAAAGAAATTTATCTGATTTCCCAACACTTCGTAGGAATAAATCACCATCTTTATCAGTTTTCTCCTCTTTCATCCGATTCCAATCATGAATTTTTTGATGCTCTTTAGGTCCAAAAAGTTGTGAAGCTCTTTGAGCAAAGTCAATTCTAAAATAATAAACTATACTACAAAAACATTAAAATAACTTTTGCAGTGCCATAAAATGTTCCAAAGGAGTCTCTTGACTTTTGTGAAGTTGACGGACACGTTTGATAACAGTTGAACTACTCTTGATATTTATTGCATTAACTAATTTATAAACATTTAAGATTCAAAAATAAGAATAAAACCTGTTGAAAGACAAATATTAGCAAAACGTAAGAAAAGTACTCCATTAATAATAGGCCCTTGTGAAGGGTTCAAATCAGGAGAAAACCCAGATTGGAAAACTTGACACTGAAGCGAGCACTGAACTCCTGAAGAACCTTGTCGAAGTAAATACTAAAAAGAAATGAATACAACCGAATGCCAAAAATTTTTTTACAAACCTTCAAAGGAATCGAAGCAACACCCAAATGAAAAATTGAATCAGCCTCCCAAACATGTAGAATTAAATGTCGTTCTAATAAATAAGTAGTAAAATCTTGTTGTTGAGCACCATCAATGACAAATCGTAACTAAAGAAGATTGTAACCAAAAATAGAAAACAAAAAACCGATAAACCAGGCTGTTGTTTGTGTTCACTAGCATCTTGACGCCATAATAACAAAGGTTGTGGAGCACCATTGTCTTCATTACAATTAGTAGACAAACTGAAATGCAAAAAATCTATCGAAAAGAAAATAAATAAAAAAACCTTTCAGTTACAAATTGTTGGAACCGGTAAAATTGGAAGGTAAAGAAAAGTTTTAGGGGAGTTTGTGCCTGTGGGAAGCCTCCATTCATTGAACAGTAAGCCAGAAATTGAAGGCAAAATTCGGAGGCAGGCCAATGTTGTCCAAATTCCAATTTCATATCAGGAGGTTTTTCATTTTGTGTATCAATATCAACTGCTTTTAGAGTTGGCTCGCCTGAGGAGTTTATTGATGGAAATTTTGAAAGTAATGGAATAAAAGTTCGAGGCAATGCGCTTATGCTGAAAATAAAAAAGATAAAAACTAGATATTTGAAAGAATCAAAGGATACCGGCCAAGAGGGAGCTCCGAGTAGATTGCTCCATAATTTGCAAACTTTTGAGATTGAACGACCAATGGCTTTTCGTAATGGATTTTCTGAAAGATACCATCTAGATCAATTTTCTAAACGATATAATATTTAAACCGTTGGCCTAAGCAAAGAAGCATCATCATCAACAGTCTCAGGATCTGTCATTGGTAGCAATTCCAAACTATGTTCGGGCAATTTTGAAGTGTCCGTCGTCGCATAACGTTGAGAAAGCTCTCCATCCTTTACTTTAAGAATGCGGTCTGAATGAGGTGGTGTTCGTATTTGAACCAATCTATTACTAGGAGTACGAGATGGCTCTGGAGTAGACAAATTGTCTTCACCCAGGTCCTTAATAGTTAATACAATAGGTTAAATAGTCTATTTAAATTTAAGTTACAGATAAAGAAGCGAAGTTGAAGTGGACATCAATACGAAAACGGTTTGCCGGAAGCGATGCATATTGCTCAGATCCAGAAGGGGAAGGAAGAGTGGAAAGATCTCTAAAACAAGATCCTGTCTGGAATGGAGAGAATCGAGGACCGCCGACCAACTAAATAATAAATTTCATGCAGAAAAATGTAAAAACCTGAAGTGTGATTGTATCGGCTGGTTCCGACCTTTCTCGACCTTCAACAAAAGGAGACCAAGCAGCCCAAGCTATACGAATTAGACGCATATTTGTTATAAGATCCTTTAAAAAATAAAGTATATTGAGCTGCCAAAACAAGAATTAAAACCTCATTCTTACTAGAAGGGCAAGCGACCAAATAAATTAACTGAAATACAATAACCAATTCTGGCTGAACAGGAAGTGAACGAAAACGCACACACTGACGAACACCAAATTCAAGACTAAAATAAACGAGAACCATTATGGTAATTATTTAAATAACCTTTCTGATGAACGTGGATGCGAAAATGAATCAGCATGAGATATAAACGGTAGTGGTTCCAAGAGAAGGCAAATGGGCTCTTCCAAAAAAGTTAAACCATTGTGGGAACCTATCTAAAAAGAAAAAGCATTAAGGAAAAAATGTTCCTACCAGCAAACGACGTTCTAAAATTCGAAAGGATGAGAGTCCCTGAATACTTTTTTCATTCATTGAATAGTAAAATTCCCGAGATAATAAATCCAATATGACAGAATCGCATACAGATTGATTTGCATTAGAAAAGCTAAAAATTACTGGGATGAAAGTTAAAGATGTCACAAAACAGGAAAGAGTAAAAGTATACCTAAGCAATATATTGTCCAAAATAGCCGAAATTTTTGAATGTGCTGATGCGTCATCAACAGTTAATTGAGGAATAAAGTGAAAAAGAGGCAATGGAAAGTTGATTTGTGTAGTGCATAAACGTTTATGAGCAGAAAGTACACCATCTGTTCGATTCAGATTTAGTTGAAGTTGTTGAAAACTTGAAGCTAGGAAAAGCATTTGACAAGATCCAGCGAAAAGCGGAAGACTATAATTTTAAATAAAAATAAATTTAGGAACACAATGAATAACCTATTAGCTGTTCCTACCGTTGAAGCATTGGTTTGTATCTTGAGGTTGCATCAAGTCCAACTGGGCCAATTTGTTCAACAACGTCTTTCAGTGGCATTACAGTCCATCCCAATGAATTTTTGTCACTGAAAAGGAATCATTTTATTAAAGAAAATACAAAAAACCTATTTGTTAACTGAATAACAACAAGGAAATCATTGTCAGCAGAGGAAGAAGCGATAATATTCTAAAATAGAGAGGAGAACATTTGTAAAAGAGAAAATCCCAACCTTTTTAATGTTGATATGAGAAGCAGTTGATATACAATCAAGAACTAATTGCTTGCCAACAAAGCAAGACGAACGAAAATCGTAAAAACACAAACTTAAAAAATACGTGCCGTCCAAAAACTAAAAATTGGTAAGAAAAAGGAAAATCCAGATAAAAACCTGTTTAAACTCAATACCATTAAGTTCTAGCACATGTAAAGATTCCCTTGAATGTGAGGAATATTCCAAAGGCAAAGCATTCGATCCACTAAATAAATTAAAAATCAAATTAAAAAAAACTAAATCAAGTAACCTCCCATGCCAGATATCCGCACTCATCTCAGGATCTAAAAAATTAACATAAACATCTCAAATAAGCAGATTTCAAGGCGTATTTACGTAGCCATGGTAACCAATTTGGCAAACTGGCAACCGTTTCAGGCCAAAAAGAAGGTTCTGTAGAATGCTGTAGAACATCTTGAAATAATTATAATTAGTTTCCACTTTGACATTAACCAATTTAAAATTTACAAAACAATTTTTGCGTTAAATATTGACTTGAAATTCTCAGGGCATGATTTGGCTTCTGTTTTTTTTTATTTTCTCTCGAGATCTCGGGGAGGGTTTTATGCCGTTTTTTTCATTTTTTTTACTTTTTTAAACATTTTTCATTTGTTTTTTTCGTTTGTTCGTCTTTAATCGTTACCCCGCAATGCGCGCGCAAAAATTTAAAAAAAAAATAAAAATTTTCGATTTTTTGAAAAATAGTAAATCCGATAATTTAAAGGTGCTTCACCCTTCTCTGGATTGATCTGGTGGTCGTCCGGTGGATTTTTTTTATTTTTTTTAAAAAATATAATTAAAATATTAAATTTTTGTATTTTTATGTTTTCTGCTTGTGGTGGTGGTGGTTCAACATGCTTTTGATGGTGGTTCAAGATGCTCTTGGTGCTGGTGATTCACATGCTCTTCATGGTGGTGGTTCAACTGCTTTTGGTGGTGGTTCAACATGCTTTTGATGGTGGTTAAACATGCTCTTCATGGTGGTGGTTCAACATGCTAGTGATGGTGGTTCAGCATGTTTGATGTGGTCCGGTGGATTTTTTTAAATTTTTTAAAATTATATATTAATTTAAAAATTAAATTTTTGTATTTATATGTTTTTTGCTTGTGGCTGTGGTGGTTCAACATGCTCTTGTTGGGGTGGTGGTTCAACATGCTCTTGATGGTGGTGGTGGTTCAACATGCTCTTGGTGTGTTTAATGGCTATGGTGACGTCCGGTGGATTTTTCTATTTATTTTTTAAAAAATATAATTAAAATATTAATTTTTTGTATTTTTTTATGTATTTTGCTTGTGGCGTGGATGGTGGCTCAACATGCTTTTGGTGGTGGTGGTTCAACATGCTCTTGTTGGTGGTGGTTCAACATGCCCTTGGTGTGTTCAATAGCTATGGTGGGCGTCCGGTGGATTTTCGTTTTATTTTTTTAAAAATATAATTAAAATATTAAATTTTTGTATTTTTTTTATGTATTTTGCTTGTGGCGGTGATGGTGGTTCAACATGCTTCTGGTGGTGGTAGTGGTTCAACATGCTTTTGGTGGGTGTGGAGGCGTTCAACATGCTCTGGATGGTGGTGGTCTACATAATCTTCTGGCCTGGTAAAAGTTTAATTGTAAAAATCAAAAAATTTGCAAAAATTCAAAAATGCGCATGCGAGCCCCTGTCCTTTGTCCTTTCAATTTTTATTGTTTTCACTTTTTTTGTTTAAAAAAGTTTTTTAATGATTTAGCAACAAAGATGGGATGGTATGTGGGCTGGCTGTGGACAACTGGATAAAAATGGAGTTGCAAAGGGAAAGGTTTTTAGTACTAAAAAAGGGGACTGTGATTAGGCCGTGTTTTTAGAAAAATCAAATTTTTTGTGAAGAGGGGTTATGCCCGATTTTTGTAGAAAATTTAAAAATTTGGCATTCTGTTTGTAAGAATGAAATTTTATCCTCTGAAGAAATAACACGGCGAGAGAAAGAAATTTTTTTCACTTTGCTTTTAGGATCATTTGAGTCTGAGAAAGAGGTTAAACTTTTTATTTTTCAAATTTTTTCTACGTACTTGAAGGGGTTAAACTTTTCGTTTAATTTAATTCTTTTAAGGTCATGTTATTAAAGTTTTTGTCTTTTCGACTACCTTCCTTAACTTTTATTCCATCACGGTCGAACACTGTTAATTTTTTTCAACGGCGAAATGAAGATGTTCTTTGGAGAACTGTGACAAATATTACAAAATATGGTGCGCGTAAAGGTCGCGGGAAAACTCGCCAGCCATATCGTCGTTTGAGTGATTATTATAAAATTGGAACACTCAAATCAAGTTAGTGATTTTATCTATTTTTTTCAATTTCTTTTTAGGTCCTATGCGCATTCGCTATCCCGGATTAAATGAACGTATTCCCAACAGTTTCACTGAACCTATATACTTTGAGGAACAAACTGAAGAAGAAAGAGATGCCTCTTTTAAAGTTAACAAAGTGGAGCTGGCTAAGAAACCGCCAAAAGCAACTCGAAAACTTCTCAAAGAAAAGCTTTCCGCTTGGGAGCGTGGCTTTAGTGGAGGACAATGGCTTGGTCAAAAATTGGGTCCACCACCTGAAAATTTAGAAGCTGGTGTAAACTTCGATGATTTTCAATGCATTTGTTTCCAGGTTATGTTTGATTTATTTTTCTTATTTTCGAATTATAGGTCAATCGCGTTTGCGCGATGAAACCAGGAGTTGGACGAGACTATGCTATTCGCTCTGCTGTCTTTATAGGAAATGGAAAGGGCATTGGAGGTTTATTTACTCTTTGTTTATTTTGATAATTTTATTAAGGATTCGCCTTTACTAGGGCGCCTGTTTTTCAGTCAAACAAAGCTGTTGCAAATGCTATAAAAATTGCTTCTCGTAAACTTTTTTACATCGAACGGTTTGAAGATAGAACTATTTATCAGGTTTTGTTTCTAAAATTTTTAAACATCACAGGCTTTATTTCTTTTTTAGGACTTCTTTGGAGAATATCGAAGTACTCGAGTTTTTGCGCAAAGACGGGAGCCTGGTTATGGAGTGATTGCTCATCCAAGGATTAGAAAAATTTGTGAGGTTTCTCTTTTTCTGTTGACTTATTTCAACCCTGTTTCATAGCTTTTGGGAATCAAAGATCTTTATGTACGCACAGAAGGCAGTACTACAAATTACATAGGAATTGTTTACGCTTTTGTTACTGGTCTAATTCATCAAGAATCTCATAAACAATGTGCTGACCGAACTCGCCTTCATGTTGTTGAATTAAATCCTAATCGAATGTTTTTTCCAAAGATTGTGGCATCACCAGTTAATACTCCTGTTAAACGTGACGAAGAAGTTACACCGATTGAGGTTTATCAATTCTCATCTTTTCATTATAAGAACTTTATTTATTTTTAGCGAATGCGTTTGGAAGATTTTTATGGCGAAGGTGGATAAAAATTAGATTATATCGTTTATAATGTAATCGTGAATTTATTTTAGGTCGTTTCCCTCAGCATTATGGAAAATACATTCTGAGTTATAGAAATCACATTGGCCACCTGAACGCTGAATGGAAAAGGCATCCTTACCGAAACATGGAGAAGGTAGCTTCTTTATTTTGACTTCTAAAGTTTTCATTTTTGTTTCTAAGAGAATAATCCGTTTCTTGGCTGATGGTGAAGTTAATCGATGGACTCGTAGGGAACGAAAAAAATGGTCAGATCGTCAACATGAGATGGTGACTAATGGGCAAAAGCCTTTGCCGTTGGGTATTGGACTTCCTGATTGGATTCCGATGGAAGGAGAGGTTTGAAGATTTTATCTTTTATGTCTTTTTGCTTACGTTGATAAGCTAACATAAACATAAATAACATTTTTATAGGACGATGTATTTTTGGGATCTTTGACCGACCTAATGCCGCCGACCGACTTTTATGATGATCAAAACAATGGTGATGCAGGATTTGACTCGTCGCAAAAAGAACTTGAAAAAGAGTTAAATGTTTCAAATTAACTGTTTATCTGTAGCGAAATATTAAATTATTCAATAAATAGTTGATTTTTTCGAAATTTTATTGAGATCATTAATTTTAAAGGAAATGTACAAAGTGCAGTCAAAAATATTTATAATTGTTGATTTAAGAATAATTCTTCTATGGCTGAAGTTTTACTCGTGATTCTTAATCTTTAACGACGTCCAACTGGTATCTAAAAGGTTTAATTTTTAATTAGGTTTGTTTGATTATTCATTTTTGATTTTTAGAATTTGTGTGGTTCACCCTTGTGTCTTACTACAACCGATATTTTGGTTCCTGAATCAGAGACGGGTATAGGTATTTGTTTTTATTTTTCTAATATGAGCCTCGAAGCTTACCCGATCTTTCATCATCAAAACCTTCATTAGTTTGAATGCAGGTGCTCTTTTATCAGGCACCCGTTTCCTTACAATTGGTCCGTCATCAAATTCAAGTTCTCGTCCAAAGGCGTCACCACCCCTCTCTTTTAAATTTAAAAATTAAATTGACAAGAAAATTTTCTAATTTTTAGGTACCTAATAAACTCTCCAAATAGCAGTTAGTAAAACGAGTGCTCATTTCTTCAAGACAACGAATGTCACCTTGACAAATTCCAGCAATCACTCGACAGGATACTACAAAAAAAGTTTCATTTTAAATTAAAATATTTTTTAATTTTTATTAATTTCTAATAGGAAACGAACAATCATTAGACAGGATTGAAAAATTATATCTAAATTTTTTACAAAAAAATTTTGGATGTGAAAGTGGTGTTGATGCAATGACGGTTCTGTCAGTGGTTATAATAATGCACAGGACCAGGAAGAAGAACAATAAAGGTGAGTAAATTATTTTATTAAATTTAAGTAGTGAGTTCATTGTTTATGTCAATGAGTTCTGCTTTTGGCTTTGAATGTTGAAAAAATAAATGTATTATTGTTGCTTTTAAGTCAGATTTTAAGTTATTAAATGGGTTATTATTTTAGCTAAATTATGTGTTTAATAATTTAAACAATGAAATAGCTTTGCAATTGTTTTCGCGCGTAATAAGTTTGCTTTTTGATAGACTGCGTATTTATTAATCTTAAATAAGAAGCGTATTTGTAAAACCTAAATTTTTGTCCAGCTGTTTCGTTTTTTATTATTCACGCCTCTCACTTTTTCGTTTCCGTCAAAATTTATTGTAGTCAAACTAAGTCAAGTCAAAATTATATTCACATTTTGCCTCTATTTGTTGCTGTTCTTCTCGTTTTTCTTTCCTCCTTTCCATATTATTAACTAGGAGTTTTTTTCAATATGCTTTAAATGTCATCACATATAATTCTTCACAAATTTGTCGAGACTTATATTCATCTTTAAAAGATAAGGTCGTGCTTTCCTTTTCAATAAGCATCATCATAACAACTCGCTTTTTTAATGGAAAATGAGCTATATAAAATTTTGTCTTTAAGTAGGATTGAAGGAACTTGAATGTAAAAAAACATTTTTAGAAGAGGCGCTTTTTGCCATGTTTTATAATTTTGTTTATATCTGCCCATCATGTTCTCGCGTTTTATTGCCGTTCTTATGTAAATTTTGATGAGAAGAAAAAAAAATTTTTTGCTCTTTGCTTCTCACTTTTTCGGAGGGGGTGTCATTTTTAATTAGTTGTGTTTTTATGTATGCTTTATGTGACAAAGTAAAAAATATTAATAAATAAATAATGAAATATTTACATTAAATGTGAACGAGATGTAAAATAAATTGGAAAAAAGGCTTAAAATAATATAAATATTTTTTGTGTTAAATCAAATAGAAAATTTTGATTGGTTTTGATGCTTGCAATGTTTTTTTCTATTTTTGTTCAAAATTTGACTGAAAGCTACTAATGTTGTTTTATGCAAATTTGTTTGGGGACGATATATTTCCTAGTAGATTTTTTTATCATTCCGGGAATATTTAAATATTTTTATAATGGATTTTTTGTTCATGAGAAAAAAATAATTTAAAAACTACATATCTGCAGTTAAATTGTTAAAAATATCGGAATCTTATTGACATCATTAATTAACCAAAATATTGTTTTGTCGTAAATATTTGAGGGATATTAAGCATTTTGAATTACATTTGGCATTGAAAAAGATTGACAGGTGAAATTGGCTTTTGCATCTTTCATTCAATGACATGTTAAAATTGTTTTTTAAATACGTAAAATGGATATTTTTTATAATTTCCTATTAGATTAATATTCTGCAGAAAATTTTTTCTCATGGTTCTTCGTTTAGTTTAAAGCCATTTCTGCTAGACTTTTCAATCTTTAAGATCAGCTTTATCAGTAAGTGATCAGCAGTTTTCTTCCACGTATTCTTTGTCTTATTAAAATAATTTCCCAGTCGATTATTGATCTTATTGTATTCATTAACATCCTTTTGAAATAGCTAGATTAACCGCATTTTCAGAACCAACCTCTTGCCACGTCTGTTTGTTACTCCCATTATAAGTGATTCTAAGAGGAATGCTTTGAATTTTTTCTTCGACAATTTGACGCCATTTTATGAAGTGACCTCCGTATTTACATATTTAATGCAGTAAAATTGCGCATGGCCGACTTTGTGGCGCAAATTTTAGAATTTTGTTAAAATTTTATAAAGAAATGCTTGAATTTACTAAAGTATTTTTAATAGTTTTTTTATTCACTTCACTCTCTTTTTTTCTTTTTAAACTTATCTCCTATCAAATTTCGTCTGTTTTTAATCTTTCTTTTTTTCATTTGAGGCTGGCACATAACCTTTTATTCTTTGAAGATACCGCCAACTCTTAGCCTAGGGTTTAAATTATTTACAGCCTTCAATATCGGCAAAACCTGGTACTTTATTAATATCCCGCCCCCCACCCCTATTTGAGTCTCAGAATAATTTTCCTTCCTTTTCATTTTCCTTCTTTTTTTTAATGCCAATCATTTTCTTCCCTCAAATATAGGACACCCAAAAGGACCCATGTCATTTTTGTTATCAATCTCTTTAGCTCTATGAAAGGAATCCTTTAATATTAATTTTGTTAAGGTTTAAAAATCTTAAAGCAAGTTGTGGCTTTGCGCCGTTATGGCCTCGCGCCCTTTTAGGGGTCCTATATTTGAGGGAAGAAAATTATTGGCATTAAAAAAAGAAGGAAAATAAATGATTGACAGCAAGGAAGGAAAATTAATCTGAGACTTAAATAGGGGTGGGGGGCGGGATATTAATAAAGTACCCAAAACCTTTATGAATCAAATTTCGTCACTCGAACTTTATTTTTATTTCAATCTTTTTCAATGGCATTTTTGACCAATATCCAATGAGCTAGATTTTTTTCTTCGTGTTTATCTTAGTTTGAACTTTTATAGTTAAATTGAAGACTATTCATTGAGAAAAAATTTTTCTCAACGAAGGATCATCAGATTGTTACTACATATTTTAACATAAACAACACTTCTAGGCTTTAAAGAATAGTAACTTCCAGATATAATTCTTCCCACTTTTAGACATTAATTCTTCTTTCCCATCCGTCTTTTATTTTTCTTTTTTTTTATTTTAGTGTAAATAAAGCTTTTCCTTGCTTTCTATTTTAATTGTTCGCTCTCTATTATTAAAATTTAATTAATTAATTTTGTAATTATTAAGTTTCTTCATATTTTTTAAAGCGATGCGCAAATTAGAAAATTAGTTTTACAAGTAAAAGTGAAAAAAAGGTTAGAGGACCATAAACATTTATGTCATGCATAATTTTCTAAAAATAGAACATGTACCTCTCACAATTTTAATTTTAGGTGTGTGTGGATGGAAAAAGTGTAAATTTGTTAATAAAATATATAGAGGTTTTGTTTTTGACAATCAAGGGTAAAAATGTTATAAATGTTTATGATTTATTGGTTTTTTATTGTGTTTTTTGTTTAAGTAATTAGCGTCAAAATTTTCTAAGTTAAATAATAATGCATATCTTTGCAACATTTTTCGCTTTCTAAAAAATTGCTAGGCCAAAATAAAGTATTAAATATTTTACTCTTGAAAGAAAATATTAAAATAGTAGGACAAGACGGTTTTGTTTTGGTTTTTTGGTACGCAAAATTGAGCGGTAAGATTAATGTGAGATGGCCTTTGGCCCCCTTATAACTAACCAAGAATTGGCATTTTAAAAAGTGGTGGTCTTTGAGAAAATCGGTAAAAAAGTTTAGGTCGTTGGATAAAATTTTAGTTATTTTTATAAGAGAATTCAAAATTTAAAAAACTTTAACCAAAAATCTTTTTAAATTCAAGAATTTTTTTGCTCAACTTACCAAAAGCTTTCTTAAATTATTTTGGATCATCACAACATTATTTTAACACCTACTAGTATTTATGTCCAGCATTCAATTTCATCAATTATACACTATCAATGACAATTTTTTGAACATTTTTAGTCCTAAATCAATATTAGCAGCATTAAGATGGGTAAAAAGATGGATTTTACTAATGGCTTCAACAGTTCATCAATTACTAAGTTGGAAAAAACGAAGACGATTTGTTAAAGCAAACATTGGTGGTGTTAATAAAAGGCCAAATGATCCTTTTAATTCAATCTCTATGATCAACAGGCTGAGAGACTATTGTTGTCCAAAGTATTGCTTTTGTAAGTGAGAAGTTAAAATTAATTACTTGTCATTTTTTATTTTGGTTGTTTTTTCCTCAGGATTTTCTTGCTTGAATGTTTGTTTAAATCAAAAAATAGCACCCTCATTTATCTCCCAAACAAATGGGGATTGGGATAATATAATTAATATTTAATTTTTTAATTTATCAGATTCTCAGGATTGCTCAATTCAACTGTCATGCATTTACTTATTTCTTATTCTCTTATTCATAATGCCTTCTGTTTTATCTTTTGATGCTTCAAACAAGGTTATTACAACACCAACATTCAGCTTTGAGGAACGATCATTGCTTCGAAAGGCTTTTTTGAATAAATTTGGGCTTTCTCATTTGAATGAGTGGAAAAAACAAGAGAATTCGACACCCAAAGTGCCTGGTTATATTTGGAATTTGTACAGGAGGTTGGAACAACGAAAAGCAGATTATACTACAATACGGCATTTCAGTACTTATTCGCTTGAGTTTGTGGGTAATGGGTATGCTAAACTTGTGTTTAACTTGAGTATGGGTGGAAAACAAGTTGAAGATGTAGGTCCTTAAAGATATTCATGATAAATGTCAATTTTTAGGAGGTAATATCACATGGTGAACTTCGACTCCCGAATTGGAAAGAAGCTTCGATTAGTGTTAGAATGGATAAATATGGAGATACTAGTAAAAATAAGACCTATGAAGCACCTGATTCTAATAATAGAATTGGTTTTGAACAAAGACCATGGATCGATTTAGATGGCAAATTGCTTACTACTTCCTGTCACAACCAAAAAGTATGCTCTTATTTAGGGTTGTCAGTTCAGAAACGAACCGAAGAACTGAGGTTTTTTTCCAAGAACTGACAACCTTACTCATTATTAAATAAAATTCATGCTTTTTACAATTAGTATAGTTGAATTTACTGCTTCATTTTCCGTTGGGCATACCGATAAATAATGTGGAATATATGCTTAGAGCTGCAGCATTATTAATTTATGCAAATGAAAAGGGTTCTGATTTTGAATCGAAATTCAACAAAAATGACTCAAAACAACTAAAGCGGCGTTTTAAGCGATCATTGAGTGGTGCAACTGATGAAAATAGTAAATTTGAAGAGGAAGAAGACGCATCGTTAAACACAAGTCGTCAAAAACGTCGAAGATTAGCCACCCAACAACATCGGCATCGTCAACATAATTCGGGAAGTGGGGCATGTCGTCGTGCTGATTTGTATGTAGATTTTGGACAACTTAACTGGCAGGATTGGATTGTTGCACCATGTTTGGTTATCATTATTTTTGTCTAAAAAATTTTTTTCCAGCAGGTTATGCAGCATATCAATGTAAAGGTAAAAAAACGTTTTTAAATAAGATGAAATTTTTACAATCTAACTTTATTACAAAGGTCGTTGTTCGCATCCATTGCCTTCTCACCTAAATAGCAGCAATCATGCAATAATGCAATCACTTCTTCACTCGTAAGTACAAAAATCGCGACTTAATTAAATTAATTTTTTTAGAATTGATCCTGGAGCGGCTTTAGCCCCAAGCTGTGTACCAGTTCAAATGAGCTCAATTACAATCCTTTACAGGGACACAAATAATAATGCGCTTGTTGTTAAAGGTTTTATTTTAACGTGAATATGCTTAATATATATATTTTTATTATTTTAGCTTACGCAGATATGCGTGTTGATGCCTGTGGGTGTCAGTAATATGCAATAAGATTTTATTGAAAAGAAAAACCGCTCACTAATTTCGTTTTTTTATTATTATTCCTTTGTTTTTTTTATGATTATGATCTCATTAATATAAATTTGTTTTAAATTTAAGCCTTTATTTCTTAGATTATTGGTAAAATCTCCTTGTGTTTAAAGTAGATTTACTCATACCTTTTATGGCGTTTTATTGTTGGCAATCTTTGTGAATGCCATTGTCATTTACATTTTGAAATTCTTTGGGTAATTTGACATTTTGAATTATTGACCTGTCGAATTTTTGAAATATCTAAAAAAATTTACACTTAAATGGCCATGGCCAAATTTTGTTCATTTTTATATTGCCTTGATCTTTTGAATTATTTTCAATTTGATCTTTAACCTTTTAGTTGCTATTATCTAATGCTCGATGGAAGCTTCAAATATAAATGGAGATGAACTAGTATCAATTTTTGATAAGAAATGTACAATGTCTGCTAAGGAAGCTCCTACATCTGGACCTCATTCTATAACGATTTGTAAATCTGAGTCAGGTTTCTTTTCTTATTTAGTATTTGAGGATTTATTTATTTTATTAAGGGTTTGGTTTTAATGTAAAAGGTCAAGTGAGCGAAGGAGGTCAACTACGTTTTTATTGCGGTATTTAATCCTATGATTGTTTTTTTCAAAGAAAATTAGTTTAGGCCAGTTATATGCACCACTACAGCATGTTAGTGCCGTGTTGCATGGTGGGGCAGCTTACAAGGCTGGATTACGTCAAGGCGATCGGATTGTTGAAGTGTTAGTTTTTTAAATTTATTGATTAGAATCTTTATGTGAACCTAAATTTTTTGGTTTGATTACGATGATTCATTTAATTTTAGGGAAAAATTTCGGAATACTGAACAGAACGCAAATGGGTCAAACCATATGTCATTCGAAAGAGCTCGTCGAGTTGAGTCGAACGGTGAAAAAATTTTCGTGCGGACTCATACAGGGGCTGAGATACAGGTCCCCGAAAATCGAAAAACCATAGGGGGGACCAAGCTGTTTTTGGGGGTGAAAAATTCGAATATGCAAATGATAGCTCATTTGAAAGAGCTCGTCGAGCTGAGTCGAATGACGCCAAAATCAACGAAATCCGACTTCATATGGCCGAGTTACAGACCCCCGAAATTTGGAAATTTTTGGGGTCAAAAAAATTCGAATATGTAAATTATACCTCATTCGAAAGGGCTCGACGAGCTGAGTCGAATGACACCAAAATCACCGTGATTAAACAAGATTAGACAAAGTTACGACAAAAAAACCTAAACCTATGGAGCGTCGGCGAGGCGCTTGTGCAAAACTAGAGTTGCACCCCGACCCCGTACCCCGAACCCCGACCCCCGTTCCCGAAAGATTTTTCCAAAATTTCCCCGACCCGAACCCCGCCCCGAAAAAAATGAAAACCCCGTCCCCCGACCCGAAAAAGTTTCGGGGTTTTCGGGGTATACACCCCTAAAAACGCCATTTTTAAGGAGAATTTAAAGAGAAAAATTTTAGAAACTTCCTCCCAATTTGCTTTGCCTTTATTATTTTTGTAAGAAAATTGAATGAAATATCAATATTGTATTTCCATTTTAACTAACCGACTTGTGGTTGAGTGGTTTAGTCGTTGGCTTTGTCTATATTTCTATTCATATAGGTTAGGGTTCGGATCCAAATAAGGAGAACCCGTTTGTTTTCTTATTTTTCTTTACAAAAACAAGCGTTAAATTTTAATTTCAAAAGTTTAATTCTATTTTTAAATATTATCAACCATAAATTTTTAGTTTAGTCTAAAAATTCTAAAATTTTTATCTTTGGCTCTAAAAAAGGAAGATTCTATCCCTTGAACCACCCTTAATCCTTCGAAACCCTTATATCAGCAGATATGTCAGTTAATCTCTATAAATCTTCCATAATCCGCCCAAATTTATTTATTATCCCAGATAATTATCTCCCCAGATTAAAAACTAATAAGAGATCCGTAATACTTCTATATCCTTCTAAATCAAGGATATCCCTTGAGACCAACAAAGATCACTCCAGATCCTCTTGCATCCCTAGATATACCATTTAATCCCTAAAATCCCACTTAATCCCTTCAGATCCGCTTATATCCCCAGATAAACTCTTTAATCCCTTCAAATCCAATTTAATGTCTCAATATCCTACTTAATTTTTGAAAAAATTAACGAAAATATGCTAAAATCTAATTATTTTTTAACATTTTTTTCTCTAAAATTTTTCCACTAAACCCCCGTACCCCGACCCGAACCCCGACCATATTTTGGTCCCCCGACCCGTACCCCGCCCCGAAACAATTCGAAAACCCCGTACCCCGACATACCCGCCCCCGAGCGTTCGGGGTGCAACCCTATGCAAAACCCCGCGCTTCGCGCGGGGTTTTGCGGCACGCGCCTCGCGGGGAGTCTACGGGCGATGGGTCTGGGCTCGTAACATAAACCTATTCCTATCTCCCTTGCTCTGGACTTATTTGGGGCCTCCGTAGCAGCAAAAATCTCCACAGATGACATAGGTAAGGAGCTAAAATAAAAGAGCATAACTTTGTCCAATCAAGTCGGATTTCGTTGATTTTGGTGTCATTCGACTCAGCTCGAGGAGCTCTTTCGAATGAGCTATCATTTGCATATTCGAATTTTTGACCCCAAAAAAGTGCTTGGTCCCCCCTATGGTTTTTCGATTTTCTGGGGCCTATATCTCAGCCCCCGTATGAGTCCGCACAAAAATTTTTTCACCATTCGACTCAACTCGGCGAGCTCTTTCGAATGACATATAACTTGACCTATTTGCTTTCTGTTCAGTATTCCGAAATTATACCAATTTTAGAAATGGTGTTAATGTGGAAGGTGCTAATCATCGTCAAGTTGTTGAACTGATAAAAGCGGGTGGTGACAGGTATAATTAAAATTCTCTTCTGGGATCTTAAGATTCATTTTTTTCTTAAGACTTGATTTGCTTGTTATTACTGCTCCTATGGACAATTCTGACTCATCAGCTAATTGTTGTGGTTATAATGGTGCTAGCGCCACTTACGATGATCACAACAGCGTTAACAATGATGTTTATCGATATTATGATTACTCAGAAAAACGGTATTGGCTTTTGTTTATTTTTGATTTATTTTTCCAGATCACTTCCCATCACTATACCCAATTACCAGACAGTAAGTACGGAAGATGAACAGGTATATTTTATGACTAGTTAATCTGTCACCTTAACTTCATTTTCAGTTTGTTGCCTATTCGATTCATATGGCCGGTCGTCATTTGGGTTCGCGTCGTTTCAGCGAGTTTCTTCAACTTAACAAATTGCTCAAAGAAGAATTTTCTGATTTTTCCTTTCCAAAATTACCAAACAGGTGGCCTTTTCGCATGTCAGAACAACAACTAGATGGACGTAGACGTTTACTTGAACAGTATTTGGAGAAAATTTGTGCTGTAAAAGTTATAGCTGATTGCGAAATTGTTCAGGTTTTTTATTTTATTCTTACACAATATGAGCTAACTTTTTAAATATATTCAGGAATTTCTTATGGAAGATTCTAGTTCAAGTAGTCCAGTTTTGAATGTTTCTCTTCGTCTAATTGTTTGCGGTGAAACACTTACATTAAATATTAAAAGACATAGTGACACACATCAAGTTTATCAACAAGTATTGGAACATCTCAAATTATCCCCTAGAGCAGCAGCTAATTGTGCGCTTTTTGAAATGATCGATGTTTGTTTATTTTTGCCTTTTTTTTCTAAAATTCTCATTATTAAAGGACACTCACTTTCGTCGTTTACATGAACGGGAATGCCCTCATAATATTTATATTCAAAATTATTCTTCTGCCGCAAGCTCTTGCATTGTTCTACGCAAATGGTGTTTTGATGTGAGCACTGAAGAAAAGCTTTGCGAACTTGACAGTCGATTTAAAGCAATATGTTAGTTTTTTTTTGATTTTGTTTAACTCAAGTTGTTTAATTTAAAGGCTTTCACCAAGCAGTGGAGGATATTAATTGTGGCAGTATTCGAGCAGGTGAAAAGCTTTATCAACTGAAAGCTTTGCAAAGGGATGATCGCTGCGATCAGGTTTTTGAAATTTTTAATATTAAACTTTATTTGTTTCAAGTACTTGAACTTGGCACGTCAACTTGAAGGTAAAATAAATTTTTAAATGTCATTCTATATAAATATATTATAGTCATTTTTTTGAATCGGGTTTCGGGTAATCGTGACATCCCTGCTTCCTATGAAGATGAACTAAAAATCGAAAAATAACATTATTCTTCAGGCTATTCAAGTATTTCGTTTCCACAATGTCAATTTGAAGTACCAGAAACTGAAGAAGGTCTTGCCGTACTTACCGTCGATATGAAAATTGTTTCATTGAAGGTTCAAAAAGATCATGTTCAAAAGGTTAACTTGTGCCACTTTACATTCAAAAATAATTTTTCGTTATAGGGACGTACTATTAGCTTGAAATGGTCTAACATTATTGGATACTCTGTTTTTCCTGAGAGCCATGTGTTTCAACTCAAATATTTTCGCGGCGATTCCGAGAAAGAACTCAACCTCATCTCAGTTTTTTGTGAATCTATATTTGATGTGTTCAATCGTGTCTCAGCTGAATTGAAGGCCAGTTCTTCTAATGTTGATTAAGGTAGTTAAATAAAGACAAGACAAGCGCCCTTGTGACAGATAGTTATGAAATTTTGCACAAATATTTTTAGGTTTGTCTTTAAACTGTTTGTTGGCCAGTATGCTCGGTTATGGCCGGTCGTTTACCTCCCGTTTTCGGTTCGGTTAAACCAAAAACACCGGTTTTTGACGAAACCCTGGTAACAGTCAAATTTCGAAAATTGTCTGAAATTTTAATATATTTTCCCGGCAAAGTTATGTGCAAATTCCAAGTTATATTTAGTAAGTGCGCTCTTCTTGCAACACCAACACTTAATTTAAATGTTTAGAACCAGATAAGACTCCCTATATTTCCATTTTAATATAAATTCCTATAATTACTACTTAATTTCTTTATCTTGGCCAATGATATATAATATTCATTTTGAAAGACATCTCGTTCCATTTCTTTTTTCACCATAATTTGACTTTAATCACTTTTCGTTTTCCTTACTAAATTGACAATATCTTAGATTTTTTGTATATGTTAGATTTTCATTACCATTCAAAAATGAGTTTTTTTATTATAAGTATTTGTTTTCTGAAACCATTCTAAAATTTAAATTTTATATTTATTTTGCCATGTTTATATAAAGTATAATATATTAATTTTTATTATGCTAAAATTAAAATCTTTCTATGTACATATTTATATTCAATGAATAGTTTCGATAGAGATCTTTATTTGAATGGTTTATAAAACCGAAATCTTGCATAATTGTTGTGCTACCTATTTTGAGTTTCTGTTTGATGATAAGTGGATTCAGTTGAGTTTAATCCATTTTCATCCATTTCCTGTGCTCCTCTCTCTTCATTTATAGACTCGTCAATGATCCCTTCTGGTTGTAATTGAGTTCCAATATTCTCATGTTCAATCTGGGCTTCATTCGTCATTTCTGTATTACACAATTCTCTCATTTGACCTTGTCTTTCTTGATTCTGCAGATCCTGTTCGTTTTCTAATTGTAATTCACCTCCATTGACTGGAAGCTTTGTCGCATCTTCATAGCTGGGCAATGGTGGAAAAACGTCATTTCGTGATCGACGTACTAGTTAAAAATTCGTAAGTTTTGCATTATTATTTTGCATACTACCTCTATGGTTTTGAGGTGTGTAAGGCGGTGGACCACCATCTCCAGCAGTAAAAAACGGCCCCAATGATCGCATAAACGGTGGCAATGAACTCCTTCCTGATACTACCGGTTCTGCATCACCAATTGGAAAAGGTTCAATTCTCTCGTGTCTATTATATCTATCTCTTTGTGGCAACTGAACATGGCGTGATGACATTACTTCACTACTTCCTCCATTCACAGTGCTATCAAGACCAGGCGGGAAATTGCAAGCACCGAGTAAATCTGTACGTCTGTTATTCAAATAACGGTTTTGCACCTTTGATTATAGAAAATTATTTACGACAAAATTACTGTTTGTTACTTGCATTCGATGCTTCATCAATAAATACATACTTAAGACGAGCTAAAAATAAAATTCTAAGACAAGTATTACTTCCTTCAACCTACCACAATTATCATGACTAATGAAAAAACAGTGCCTGACACATCTCTAGTAGAAAACACCTCACTTCCCTGAAAATAAAAATACACAACAATTTGTTGGCTTTATTTTTTTAAATGCTTATTTTACCAACATGTTCAAAATTTTCAAAATGCTGACGAAATCGAGGAGAGGCTCCGGCTGCTTTACCGGTTTCCGTGTCACCGATATTTGATTCAAATGCGAAGCGATGTGTAAGATTCCCATCGAATTCACAATGAGGCCCAAAGAAATGTGGCTTGCAAATACATCCATCAAGCAATGGTCGTCCACCATTAAGACAAATAGATTCTCTACATTCCTCTCCTCGATAAAAAGAGGTACAACTGCAATAATCTATGCCATCTGGGCCTTAAACAATTTCCAAAATTTTTCATTCTTCTAAAAGTAACGTACCATGCAAGCGTCGACCACGGTCACAAAACTTTTCACAGCGTTCACCGAAAAATGGCTCTAAGCAAAAACACCGCCTTGGATCCAGCAGTGAACGGAATCCATTGTTTTGGCAGTTGGGTAATCTTCGGCAGGAGCTGAAAATTTACATCATAAAGATTTGTATATTATTTTAACTTACCGATCTAGCGCGTGACCTAACGTCAGCTCCGGGCACCTGCAAATAACGTGAGAAGCATAAGAGAGTTCAACAGGTATGCCAAAAATAGATTGTGGAAGCATAAAAGAACCCTTAGAAATAAAATAATTTTAAATTTAATAGATTAATTGATACTTTAAAAAGCCGACAATTTTCATCTGAATTGAGGTTGACGGATTGGCCATACTCTTTGTGACCAGCTATTACATAGGACACTGACTATAATATTAAAATTATCTGCCGATGGATTTCTACCTACTTTGTCTATTTTGAAGTTCCGCACCAGCTCTGGATGGCTCAACTGAGGTATTCCTTCCATACAACAAACAATTTGAAAACGCTTAACAAATGTGAAGACATTCTGTGATGTCGTTGTGCTGGTTTCTTCATTTTCATTATCTTGATGCAAATCTGGCGCAATCTGTTCACTTATCAAGCTTGCATTTTCTGTGCTATCACTTTTTAGTGGTTTTGTGAAGATTAACAAAATATATAAAATGAACGTGTTTGTCCAATTAAACATCTTTAAAAATTGAAAATTTAGGTGTGAGTTCATGTTTATGCCTCAAGGAATGACCTAAATACTGGCTGGCACGAAAATATAATAGTTTTAGGATTGACTAAGGACCAATGAGCAGCCTAAGCATCGATTTTTCTTAGAGAAGAGAGTTCCCATCCTTTGAATAGGCCAACCGGCTGGCGAGGACAACAAATTGAAAGACATTAGAGTCGATAGAACTGAGTAAAAAAATGAAGCTCTCTATTCCATCTTTTGTTGCTTGAACCGGTTTTTTTCCTCTTAGGGGAATCTTTTTTTGGTTTTTGAAATTTAAATTCAAAAATGTGCAAGTAGACAGTATGGGTAATGATATTTGGCGGGTAATTGAATGTGAATATTAATTGTTATTTAGAGGCCCGAAACATTTCTAAAACTTGTTCTAATCTATGACCTTTCATCTGGTTATTTTGGTCTATTTTTTACATGTTAAACGATGTTATAAGAATATAAAAAATTAAAATGTTATGCTTAAAATAGAGTTGTAAGTTCTAAATGAACTATTTAAAAATTGAAATACTAGGACATGATTAAAAATAATTCCGAATATTTGACTGTCAATTATTCTTATTCGGTTTTCTCTAGAAATGTTTGAATTATATCTAGTAACAAATTTGAAGTGCTCTTGAAGAACATGAAACAGAATTCTTTTGCTTGTTACCCAAAAAAAAAGAAAAAGTTCAGAAATAGAAATTATTAGCCTGTCGCTGCAAGTACATTAAGGAATTTAAAATAGATATTCGTACAAGTTTTTTATTAGTGAATAAGTTTCTCATTTCTTAAAATGATGAGTTCTCGTTGCTTGTTATTTAAAAATATAAGGAGTTCACCAGATTCATTGTATCCAAGTCGAAAATTAATTTTGGCTATTAATTTGCTACTATCTTTTTCTTACTTGCCGAATCAAGTATTCATGAAAATCTCCAAGTTCCCACCTACCGATCAGAAATCGCTAACACAAACATCTCCGATTCCAATATGCTCATCCGATTCTATTGGTATTCTTATACTAAATCCAGAAGTCATGTCAGATTTACCGTTCATTATATACGCAAATGGTTATGAAGAGGAGCCAGAATGCTTGCAACCTTTTCCTCCTAGATCACCACTTCTACGCCTAGAAATTCAACTAAAATTTGGCTTTCCATGTGGTGTGAATAAAAGGCGAATGGTAAATGAATTATATACATATATATGCATTTAAATTGTTTTTTTGTTAATTAGGTATTTCCACGTGTTGGTTTAGAATATTCACTACGTGTTCTACTTAATCATATTGATGAAAATGAGTTTCAAGTTCATATGAATAGGATTAATGGTTTCCGAAAATTACCAAAAATTCAACAAAATCAGCGTATTTTTGATATTCATTGCCAGTATTTCTCTGATATTAATCAAACAATTGGACAAGTTTTGGAAATAAGGTAAAATCCTTTGTTATGCACATCATTCATGATTATAAAATTAGTGCAGTAAAAGGAACACTAATGGTAGATAAGTCAGTAGATGAAAAACTTGCTTCAACTAAAATTCATCAGCCTGAATGCAAATATACGTAATTGATAAGTTGAATTAATTGTTTCTGATTGAAAAACTTTTCAGCATACACAGTAATTCAGTTAATGGGCCAGTGGCTGAGAAAGTAAGGTTAGGCGATCGTGTTTTTCACAGATGGCGCTGTGATGATAAATATGCGCTTAAAGTTTGTTGATATTGTCCCGTATTGATATGTTCTATATAATTATAGGTATATCAGTGTTATGCTACAGATGGTCGTAACAGAGAGCATCAAATCATTAATGATCAGGGGTGGATTATGTTTTAGCTATTCATGAATTCAAAAGATTTTTTTAGATGTTCCACTGACACATCTTTAATGCCACACCCACAGTATATAGACAATCCTTCACAAGCACTAGCATCTAGTCGTGTATTTCGTTTCAATTCCTCTTCACGAATCTTCTTTGATTGCTTGTTGTATGCTTGTTTAAAAATCGACCCTGAATGTCGAAGAACAACCGTAAGGGTCAATTCGAAATATATTATGAAATATTTTAGCAGCAAAAATGTATCAGCCGCACATCCTCAAGGAACACTTATAAATTTCAAAGACAAAAGCGCGAAATTACTTCGAATTCGGAAATGATTTCCTCTGAGAGATATAGTATGGCACCTCAAATCGACAAATTAACAGTTCGTCTGGATACTGTTGAAGCGAAAGAAGGTTGATTTATTTAGATATGTAGAAGCATTATTCATTTAAATTTACAGAGAATAATGATAAAAGTACAGAGTATAAACTACGATCTGCGCTGGAATATTCTCAAAAAGCCGTAAAGGCATTGACACTTCTAAATTTGGTTAGTTTGCTGACAGCCGTTCTGCTGGGATTTGCGCTTTGTTGCCTGAAAAGACGTTCTAACAACAAGATATTAATTTCATCTTTATCTGGGTAAAAGAAATCGTACTCAGTATTATCGATTTAGAAATTTTTATACATATCCGTTCTAATCGTGTGATAAAGTCCGTTTTACTGTAATTTAGCCTTTGTTCTGCTAGTTGACCATTTATTCTTCTGACCTTTTTTCCATTGAGACTTTTCAACAACAAAGGAGATTGTCGTATTGAGTACATTAGGTGCCTGTTGTATTTGGGATGCTTGAACCTAGACTTAAAAGGCCTTAAAAGAATCGATGATAGACTACGTGGAATAAAGAGAATATTTGTTCGATTTAGGGAAACATGCAATTTTCATGGAAAAATTTTTTGTAAGGTTTTTTTTTTGGCTGAAGCGATTTGTGATTTTTTATGATTATGTACTTTACTATTTTATTGTTTTTATTTTACATTTTAGAGCTTAAAAATTCTTTAAAAATGCCAGCACAGGACGAAATTTTTCGAAATATTCGCGTAGTTGCCCAAGGTTTGGATGCATTGCGAGATGAGCATGAAGCAATAAAAAACAAGCTGACTGGTGGTCTTGATCTGCTTACGCCGGATGAGCGTCAATTGATTGACGAGAAAACATCAATTGTTGATAGGAATTTGGAGAATATACTTTTAGGCGTTGAGGAGGCTCAGGTTTCCTAGAATAAATTTATTTTTTTGATATTCTTATTGCAGGTCATGGTTGCACTTGCTTCACATTTTCAAAATTTGGAGGCTGACAAGCAAAAGTATAAAGCTCAAGTGCGTCGTCTTTGTCAAGAAAATGCATGGATTCGTGATGAGGTTTCTTAATGCTACGGTTACATAAAAAACGCAAGACGCCGGCGGAAGACGCTCGGCGTCAAGACGCCGGCGGAAGACGCTGTTTCGTGGTTACATAAAATCGGCGTCTTCCGCTAAGCGGGAAGACGCAAAGCGTCAAAACGCTAGTTTTATGTAACCACAAAACAGCGTCTTCCGCCGGCGTCTTGACGCCGAGCGTCTTCCGCAAGACGCGCGCGATTTTATGTAACCACTAAATCCGATTAAAAATTTTTTTAAATATTTATCATACTAAAATAAAATTTATAAAGTCAAATCATTTTATTCTGCCATGGTACCGATCAGGGGTGGCGCTCCTCTCGTATCTCGTGAAATCTCGTGTTTTTTAGAGGTCTCGTATCTCGTATTTTGCCACAAGACACGAGATATTTTCAATATATTTTAGAAAAAATGTCAAAAATTTGGGACTATTTTAGGATCCTAGAATTAGGAAAAAAGGAAGAAATCTTGCCCAGTGGTCTTCCAAAATTCTCAAATTTTCGCCTGCGGCGCTACAATGGAAAGAGGTATAAAGTTGGTCAAGCGGGAACGAGGTCAAGAGTATTTTCTAGAGAAAATCCCAACATTCCTTTGAGGTTGTTGAACTTTGATTGGTGGCTTTTCGGTTTTGTTTTCTTGGACGGCTCTAGTTCAAACAAAGGCTAGATATACAAACATAGGTTTTTGAACCTATAATAAATTCTCTGATCTCTCTTGAAATATATAAATTCAAAATAACTAAATAAATTCAAAATATCTAATTTTAACAAAAAATTCGGTAAAATTTCGGATTCTGAAAATATTAGGTCGAATATTTGTTTCAATTAATCACAATTTTTAACCTGTGAAAAATAGAATGGCGGCCATTCAATTAGAATTTTAGTGATATCCGGATATTTCAAGGGGGGGAGCCATACACTATATGGGACGAGCCATACTTATCAAGAAATGGTCACTTTTTCATGTTTTTGGTATCATTTGATAGAGAATCAAAAGCTCTACAACATATCAAAAAATCAGAATTTTTGACCGATTGATAAAAAAGTTATGATACTGAGAATCTCAAAAATATCGAAAAAAAAGAATATTTTTTTGCAAAAAGTATACCTTTTTCAAAATTAATTTTAACCTATAAAAAGTCGGTTTAAAAATATAAAATTTATATTGATCGATAGAGAATAAACTGAATTTTCAGAATCTTTTTAAATTTTGAAAATCGGATTAGAATTGGCCAAGAAATGATCAAGACGCTAAAAGTTGCCGCAAAAAATTCAAACATGTTTGAATTAAAAAAAGAGACGCCGGCGTCAAGACGCCGGCGGAAGACGCATTTTATGTAACCACTCAAAAAAGCGGCAAGACGCTCGGCGTCAAGACGCCGGCGGAAGACGCGGGTTATGTAACCACTCAAAAAAAGCGTCAAGACGCCGGCGTCTTGACGCCGGCGGAAGACGCAGTTTATGTAACCACTCAAAAAAAGCGGCAAGACGCCGGCGTCTTTTACTCTCCTCATTTCCCATTATCTTTTCTGCCGCAAGACGCGCGCGTTTTTTATGTAACCGTAGCATAAGCTATTATTTTCTATAACAAAGTGTTTTAGTTGAACTCGACTCAACAGCAACTTCGTACAGCAATGCAGGTTTTTTTTATTTTTCTTTAATCGAATTAATTTATACTAAGAACATTGCGCAATTGGAAGAAGAAAACAAGCACCTGAAATTCATGAATAGCATAAAGAAATTTGATGAGGATTTGCCGGAACTTGCTGACAAGGAAGGGGATCAAGCTGAACAGCAACGTCCTGCAAGCGATGTCCATAATTCAACATTGCAGGAACTTGGTTTTGGTGATGAGGAGGAGGATTTGCAAAGTTTGTTTTTTTGTCTTAATTTGATTTTCATAAAAAAACATTGATGGGGGAAAGGACTAGGTTGGTATATCGCCTATGTGTTATTGTTAGTTGTGTTTATCTTTGTTTCCTGAGGTAAAAGAAGACTGAATGCCCTTATTATAGGCCTTCATGTCGATACATCCTCGGAAATTATTATTTTCATAAACAGAACTGAGCAATGTTTACATATTTGTTCTGTCTAAATTGAATAAACAATTAGTAGTTGAACATTCCCTATTCCCCCTCACTTGATGTACAAAGTTGTCAGTCATTTTTTCTTTGCATAGTCTAACTAAATTTCCCTGTGGCTTCATTCATTTATCACTCTTCCTTCAATTCCGACACCTTTTTTGTTTTTGATTGCTTCTCTCATACATTTACCATTGTTATTAGTAAATGACTGAATAAATCGATGTCTTTTCTTAAAGACGGTTACAAATAAAAAGTATTGAAAGAAGAATGAATTCAGTTTCTTGAAATTATACAGGGTTGAAATGTCTGACCATTTTGTACATAAAGGAAAACGCGCTGACTGGGGGGAGGGGAGGATGGGGGACTATAAGTACCGTTTATCTTATATTTATTTTTAGATACAAGTGGTCAATATTCAATGCCAACTCCGGCAAATGCAATGGCTGCGAGCGCAACTGCTGGTTATGATATACCACAACGTCTAAAAACACTTCATAATCTTGTATGTCTTTCTTTTCTTTTTAATCTAGTTAGAAAAATTTTTAAGGTAATCACTTATGCGGCGCAAGGACGCTATGAAGTAGCTGTTCCACTCTGTAAGCAAGCATTGGAAGATTTGGAAAAGAACAATGGACATGATCATCCTGATGTCGCTACGTATTTTTTTATTTTTTTTAATTTGATAAAGTATTTATTTTAAGGATGTTGAACATTCTTGCTCTCGTTTACCGGTATTTTAAATTCTTTCAACTATTATAAATTGAATAAATTTATAGTGATCAGCGTAAGTATAAAGAAGCGGCGACGTTATTGAATGAAGCATTGGCAATTCGTGAGCGTTGTCTTGGTGAAGACCATCCTGCGGTATTTCTTTTCTTTCGCTATGAATTTATTTTTCTTTAGGTTGCGGCCACTCTTAACAATTTGGCTGTTCTTCACGGGAAGCGTGGAAAGTACAAAGATGCGGAGCCTTTGTGTAAGAGAGCATTGGAAATTCGTGAGAAGGTGCTAGGTGCTGATCATCCGGATGTTGCAAAACAATTAAATAATTTAGCATTGATTTATCAAAATCAGGTTGTTATTTTTTGTTAATTATCATTCTCTTCTTGTATTTTATAGGGTCTTTACGATGAAGTCGAAAAATACTACAAACGTGCTCTTAAAATTTATGAAGCAAAATTCGGTCAAGATGATCAGAATGTGGCGAAAACGATGAACAATCTTTCCTCTGCTTATCTAAAACAGGGAAAATACAAGGTTTTCACATAAATCTTCATTTTTTCTACTATATTTTCTTTTGTAGGAAGCAGAGTTATTATACAAGCAGATACTAACACGCGCCCATGAACGTCAATATGGAGAGACTAGCAACGACAACAAGTCTATTTGGCAAATTGCTGAGGACCGTGAAAATACTAAAAATCAACATGCAGATAGTGGAATTTATCATGAAAATATTCAGGATGCAATGATGAAAGTCGATAAGTACGCATTTTTATTTAAAAATTTTGGCTGAGGTTTTACTTTTCTTTACGTTTACCAACTAATACTTTTTTCCTTTTACAGTCCAACTGTAACTACAACATTAAAAAATCTGGGAGCACTCTATCGACGTCAAGGCAAGTACCAAGCTGCTGAAACTCTTGAGGATGCTGCTTTGCGTGCTAAAAAACAGGTATTTTCTTACAAACATTCACTGGGTCAGGGTCTTTCTGAGGGTGTCTGGGGGTATTTTTGTTTTTTAACGGTGGTTAATTATCACCGTACCAATTAAGTCATCGGAAGCCGAATGTGGTCGTCAAATGGAAGAAAGCAGTTTTAACAAGTTGATGCGTGATTTAGCATAGAGTTATCTGAGTCAGAAGCAGCAATGGTTTAACAAAAGGTCAAAAATAGTTTTAAAGCTTTTTTTTTAAATCTTTGTGGTTATTATTGTTGTGATTGCGCTTTGTCTTGACGTTTTCCATTTTCATTAGGATCTTTAAATAATTGGGGAAAACAAATTGCTTATGTGTCCCTTGTTGCCATCTTTCAATTTTCAGCCTGGCATAGCATCACAGCAATGTACAACTTATACTGGTTCTGATTCTCCACCAAAAATGCATGTATCGGATGAAATGACTACTTCTAATCAAGCGCAAGTGATGGGACGTTCACAAATGACGCAATCACATTCTTCGGGAGGACTGAAATCGCGATTAATGAATGTTTTGGGTCTTAGCCCTGGTAATGAAGGCGCTGGTGGATCACAATAAGAATTAAAGTGTTTATATGTAAATTTTTATTTTTTTATTTAAATTTAAATTCCATTTTTGTCTGTGGTTCGTTGCTATCAAGCACACAAATTTTCTTTTTAGTTTAAAAAATTTTAATAATAAAAATTTTTTCCAATTTCAGGTATATTATGAAAGAATGACTGGTTTTCTTGAATTAATACATGTTTATAATACATTAAGACAAAATTCATTTATTCTTACAATGTTCGTTTTTTTAGATTTTGTCGGTAAAGTTTTTTTAATGTTTATTTTTAGTTTTTATAAATTCTAAAATAAAGTAGGAGGTTTTAATGTAAATTTTCAACAAAACTCACTTTGGACAATCCATAAGAGTTAAAGCTTAGTTTGTCATTTTTTTATAATCTTTCTTGAGATTTAAAATTGAATAAGGCATATATGCAAATAGAATTTGCCATTCATTTTTAGTCCTATTTTAACTAATTTTCTTCTACCTAGACGTTTGCTTTATATAATGGGAATTTTTATTTTGAAAATTTTTATCTAACTCCTTTCTCATAAGATAAGAACATCAGTAGTTCCTTTAATGATTCAGCCGACTTTTGTTTCCCATAATGGCCATTAATCTTTATGGGAAAATTGATTGTAATAAGGGGTAGAGAAGTGGTTAATTGAACATAAGAGAAATAATTTTTCCACAGATATTGCCACTCTTGATTAAATCTTGCTAGCCGCACATTGTCAGTTGTGTTGGGGGCGATTTTGCCTAACGGGGTCCCATTCATTTATAGAGAACGATTAAAGCCAAGACAAATCAATTCATTTAACAAAGCCAAATACTTGTACATATACAATGAAGTTGGGATTAATGGTTTCGAACCTTACTTTAATTATTTTTCATTTCTGCTTTCTGGTGCCATTTATTCGTTCAGATGGTATATTAACCTGACATTTAAAATGAATTAAGTTAAGATGTTATAGGAACAACAAAATCAGACAACTTGAGCAACAGGGGTGGCGTTTATGAATCTGTTCAAATCGACGATCCAGCTGAAGATGGTTCTTCTGGAATCTACTTTCGGATAAGCCAAAAAGGTCGAATTTAAATACTGGATTAATTGAACCTCAATCTAATGTTTACTAAATTTTAAGGTGTTGATTATCTTGCAAACTTAGCATCTAAAGGGTTGCCTAAAATTATGGTAGGTTCATCACAATATGATTAAAAAACAACACTATTTTTTAGAATCGTTTAGCTTTACCAACGATAAGTGAAAGTGGTCTTGTAATTAGTGATGCTGTTATTACTAAAATGGAAGAGCCACAGATTGGAGTTAAGTTCGTTCCAGACTACGGTATCATACTTTTTTAAGCTGACAAAACATTTATTTTAGGTGTCGATCTTTCTGTTGGTATACCAGAAGTGAGCATAACTGGAGGAACGGTTCTCTCATTGTTGCGCATTATAAAACTTAAGTTTTATTTCTCTAGGAACTTTCTTTCTTCTTCGCTAAATATAATGCTCAACTAGTGGCTAACTTATTCAATTTGTATGTTTGTAGTTGTAATATTAATTTTATTATGTCCAGCTTTGGGGGGTGCCAGTTTCGTCTTTCACTTTTTTGATTGACTTTTGACTTTCGAGTTTTTTTTGTAAAATATGCTTCGGCACACCACTGCTATACATATATCTTTTCTAATTTGTAGAACTGTGCAAATGCGCGTGTTTATTCATCGCAACCTTTCAGAAGAATCTACTTCCGTTGAGGTCACAAATTGTACAGTTAATCCTGGAACGTTTGTAATGAAATTTTATGGTCCCGAAGCAAGTGAATTTTATGCTATTGTCGATATGATTAGGTCTGTATTTAATTTTCCGGATTTTTCTACTTTTATGTTTCAGGGATGGTATTGACGGCGCGATTCGTGATAAAATTTGTACTTTGCCGCCACTCATGCGCGAATTTATTTATCAGAAAGTAATTTTCAACATTGTACTCTAATATATTTTTTATCAAAGATACATGAGATTTCCAGTCCTCAATCTTTTACAAACCAAACGACTCATTATAGTGATCATAACAACCTTGACGATCCTTCTACCATTTTCAATCAACTTTGTTCAACACATTCTGACGGTCGAAGGAGATCTAGTTTAGTACAAGGCGTCAGCGAAAATCATCAGGTTTAAAGTCATCAGAATTGTCTTTATATTCAATGTTATATTAAGGAAATGTCCCATTCCAAATCCGCATCTTCTGAAGATGAACAAGCACTAGAAGTAGACATTGCTGAGATGAACGTTCCTAATTTGCTACCAGATCTTACACTTCGCTATCCACCTAAATTTTCACAGCGAGATTTAATCTTTGGAATTGACGGTGGTTTTATGAGCAATGGGAACCGAGCACCTACTTTTGTAAAAAGACCCAAGTTTAGTGACATACAAGTTAGAGATCAGGTCGAATTTTCTTATTGTTTTTTGAAAATATTTATTTTTGACAGATGCTTGGACTTATTTTTAGTGAGTTTTTGCCGAACACTCTATTCTACCACATTTTTAATTCTGGGCTTGGTCATGTTTCTGTTAGCTATTCTCATTATCATATGCCACGAATGCTGTAAGCTTTTAATAAAGTTGACTTAACTGATTTCTTATTTGAAAGCCGTTCAATGTCCAAATTGGTATGTGCGGATTGCCGTTTACGTGTTAAGTGGGTGGCGAACAAAATTTTAAATCGTAAAATAATTTAATTTCTTAGTGCCAACCTTACAAAAACACCGAAAGCTCTAATCGATCGTAATGGAGTAACACTTTTGCTTGAAGGAGATATCGGAGTGAGTTTTTCTACCTTTATAAATTCATAATTTCAGGCTCATTTTTGGCGTAAAAATCGAACTTATAACATCCTTTCAGCAAATGGTCAACTCCGAGTTGGGGTAAAATCCTTTATTCTTTGGATTTACATATAATCAATGTTTGAGATAAAGCCACATTTTCGTCATTCACGCCTATACAACGATGTATTATTAGCTGGAGTTGATTTTAAAATCTATCGAGCAGGCATGGAAGGACTCGTGTCTGGAGCCGTTCGGAAACTGTTGAGGCAATTCTTTTTTACTTTTATTTTTGTCTTAATTTTTGTTCTAAAACTATTTTTAGCTTTTTGATTCCTCGCGCAATTTGGCCAAAAATACAACAGAGATTACGTCTAGTTGTTAATCATAAAGGTTTTTATCACCTTATGACTAATATTATCCTTATCAATCTTGTTCAGGCGTCCAGATACCTCGTTTATGCGGTTATGTGGAGTTTATGCGGCTGCACCTCGACTATATAAGGCAACCCTTACTAAACTCTTTACTTGTAGCTTCACTAAATTTTAATTAAATTTTCCAATTTTAGCCATGCTGCAATTATTAGCGGTGATTTTGATGTTGATTTGCCCGTCTTGGTAAACTCTTTCAAGCAGTTTGTGGATGAGCGTCAAAGAAATACAAAAACACGGCGGGAATTGGCCCAAAAGTTCAGATACTTTTGAATGTTTTTAATTATAAATGATGCTAATAAAGTTTATGAGCGAGACCTTGCGCATTCCATACACTGCGTATAACAAACAATATGTGGTATACTTTATTGGTCTTTTTAAAAATATGTAGGATTATGAAGGGAGAAATAAGTCCAAAAATAGCGTAACTGGATTGCCAAATATTAATAGTTTGCTCTTCCTGTTTGCCTTTGTTGAAGTGTTGTGCAGTCATGTCGGGCAGTTGTGCTAAATTTAAGTTATTTTATTTTCCACTATGTTTAAAAATAGTATTTCCTTTGGTTTAATCAGTTTATACATAAGCTACTAAAATATTTTATAAGCTTTTTAGAGAAAGGATTAACCAAGTAAATATATTAGTCCGAGTTAATGGGCATACTTATCTCGGCGTATAAATACAACAACAGCGTCTGCCAGAAGAAACAGGGCGCACAAAAAATATAAAGCCTAAAGTAATTTTCGATTAGATATGTAAAGATGAATAGACAATACCGCGGCACCCGCCCATCCTTTAACCAAGAAACCAGTCTCACATCCTTTAAAAATTTATTAGGAATGCGGTTGTTCCCAAGGTTATACCTGGAATTCCGGCACATCCGCTGAATGTACCGCCTCCAATCTAAAACTTTTAAATTGGAAATCTCTCATAAGTATTTATGAGTTAATAACCTGTCGGATAAATGTTGGCATGTGATCTGAGTTTAAAGATTATTTTAAAGAAAATGGAAAAATGACTAACCAAATCCTGTTGCATACCATGTCTAAAAGAAATTTATTAATAGCTAATACTTTAACGTTACCTCAAATGCGCCAAAAATAAGAAAAGCAATCACACCAACAATGGAAGCAATAATTTGCTAAAAACTGAGAAATTTTTCAAATTTTAATGCATTATGCAAACAGAGAAACTTAAGCTCCTTCCTGAGGTTAGATAAATGCAGGTAAATATCAATGGCGCAAGTGCAAAAAGGAAACTGAGAATGATAATGGCTAGTTGCCCCCAAACACTGAATTAAAATCATGTGAAGGTATTAAAAATCATTGGTTAATGCCAACTTTTGTCCACGCATTTGAAAGTGTAACGAAGAGCTCCAACGATCAAGGCTCATAGGAAAAAATGATGGTGGACATATTTCTCGGCTTTGTTGTGTAGAGTTGATAGTTCTCCAAAAACAAACTCCACTAAAATTTATTATGTAATTCACTATGCAAGATTAATATACGGAGCTGTCAGGATCAATATCATGGAAACCACACAACTTATCTTCAAAAAAAGAAAAATTAAATGCGGTAAAGCAATTTGTAAGCGATATTTACTAACCAGCACTACTAAACGAATGCTTAATGAGATGTGAGCGTAGAATCTCGTTGAGGCCATTTTTTCTATTTTCGAATCGCCTTGTTCTTGTATTACGTTGTATGATTGGTTTCGGCTAATATGGTATTCTTGTTGAAATTCGTGTTGGAGAGTAACTTCCGTTAGTTGTTCGGAAGGGGGCTGAGAATCAACCCAAAATGAATGAATTTTGCTTAATGCTAAGGATAGACTTAATCTAAAACAGTTCAGGGAGGGCACACCTCACAGTTCAGTTCCGGCTCAGATGAGAAAAATTTGTTTTAACAATATAAAATCAAAATATTTATAGAAGAAATGATTTAATATTTTTTTCAAGTTTTCCCCCACTTGAATGTATTACAACATGTTAACTTTCACGCATTATTGTGTAAACATCGGATAGTATATAAATTGTATGGATGAAATGCCGCGCAGTACAAAATTTCTAGCAGCATTGAGTGAATTATGTGTCCCATTCGTTGTTATTGTGAAAATATTTAGTTGGCGGAAAATGATGAGGGTAAAAAAATTGTGAGGAGCAAGAAGAACCGGATAGTAGTAGAATGAAAATATGTAGCACTTCTCATCTCTCTGCGCTTACTGCTTATTTTCTAAATATTATTCACTATATGTATTGACGCGGATCAGTGATCACATTTTGGTAAATGAATCTATTGAATTTATTCGGCAAAATATACCGGGCAAAAATATTTTACAATGGAAGCCCAAAAGTATGTATTGACATTTTAATTTATTTTACTATACTAAAAAAGGACTTGGAAGAATTTAAAATTGGCCTTAAAGCAGGGTAAAAAGAACGGTAATAGTTTGGCTGACACCCCCTTTTCCCATTTCTTTGCATTGGAAAGAGCTCTTCGCGGGTCGGATGATACCATTATCAGCTAGATTTGATGATTCAGAACAAAATTATGGGTCATCCAAACCATTAGAAAAAGAACCTAGAAATTTCTCAAGAACTCGAAAAATAATTGATAATATTTACCAATATATTCCAATATACATTTAAAAATAAAAAGTCAAGAAAAAGAAAGAACGAAATGATTTAAATAAGTGTAGGAATTAAATTACTTGATTTATTATGACTTCATTCTAAGGAGCTAAGCATCATTAGCTGTTTCAGTACCTTTGTTTGTGACGTCTCCCGGATCTCTCCTGCCAGAAACATCTCGTCCACAACCGAATATACCTTAAATATTTCTATAAAATTAAAATATTAAAAGTACGGAAGATCAACCAGAAGATCAACTCCCTATTGACCATTGATATCCTCCACAAATCCTTCCTTATCCGCTCAAATATTTGGAGTTGACCTTTTGGATTGATCCCTTACTATAAGACAAACCTTATAAAAATTAAAGACAAGATCGAGCTCGCAAACATTGTGAAAGTACTCATTAAGGACCTGAAATTTTTTTTAAATTTTGTTTATCAAAATCTCTTAAATCAAACCTCCACAAAATTGTGTATTGCTTCGAGGTAATACAAATTGTTGTCCATTATGTCAACACAAATACAAAAATAAAGTCCGGCATACCTCCGATAAACAATTTTGAAATTGCGAAACTAAAAAGAATTTTGTTTGGTAATTTTCCACTATCCCTACAAATTTTCGGACTTTTTTTGCAGACACATTTATATGCACAGAATTATCTCACTGAATGATGCCCAGGAAAATAGAGTGAAATTGAGTAGGAAAGTCTGACTATTCCGTACATAAATGTGTCTGCAAAAAAGTCAGCGTCTATAGGGATAACGTGAAAGTACCCTTTTTTAGACATAAAAAAATTTTGTCAAATAAAAACCTCAACAAAATTTGTGTGCTTTGCATCACGAACGGTAACTACTGCATGTACTTCTTCAATCAATTTTTGCTTTTCGTCATCATCAAAATGCATGTACCATTTCGCTAGCCTAGTTTTTCCTAAATAATATAAAAATTGGATCAAAAAATGTTTTAGTTATCAAAATAAACCTGCACGATTCTGAATCAGAATAAATCTTATCATTATCTTCAAAATTAAATAAAGAAAGTTTGTTTCTGTCGAATATTCTGGTAAAAATAAATTTAATTCCAATGAGGTTCAAATTTTCCAGAGGG